ATTTGGAGCCCATTCCCTATGGTGGGATACCTTGCTCAGCCTTGATACGGGGCAGAGGGGCTTGGTCCTGCCTCAACTTGCTATGATAGACTTTGTTGACTCCCCAAGGAAGGTCTTACCCGCTATGAGGAGTGGATGGGAGTGGAAAGGGAAGGAGGTGGGGGGAGGAAGAAGGGAAGGAGGGGGAACTGGGATTGGTATGTAAAATGAAAAATACATTTTTAAATAAAAATTGACATAGGCGTTGATTGTGTTGCTTTTATAATTGGCATACTAGCATCTGCCTCATACTCAAATGTAGGGTGGGATTTTATCCTGTTTTCAATGATTACTTCATTTCATTCTTGGCTCACAAATGAAAATTCTGCTAGTTTGTTATAGCTGTGACTCTGGATGGTTTCTGTGTCTGTGTGATGAACAGTTAAGTTTTGAATTGATTTGGACCCACACCTCTACAGCTGCATGTCTAGAGAGAATTTTTCTTTTCAGCACCTGACACCTACATTTCCAGACAAGTTTAGATAAGACTGTTTTCATTTTCCACTTTGCATTTCAGTGAAATTTACACAGCAGACACGTGTCCTTAGGAATGAACCAACTTTTTTTTAAAAGGCATGCATAAACTGAGAAATATACATGATCATTCATTTGGCACCATATTCTTGAATTTCACACATCAGGAATAAGCAAAATTAGTATAATTTGCTTCTTAAATTGCTTGCTGACAGTAAGAGTGAGGCAGAAGAGAATCACTTTCCAAGGGAATGTGACAAGGCAATCTTCCCAGGGTCTTTTTGAGTAGAGTGACTCTGACCCCAGCACTAGGACTCTTACTCAGGAAGTCAAACCTACCTGACCCATGCTCCTCTATGCCCACAAATGCTGAGATTCTGGATGGCCAAGAGGCAATAATATCTCAGTCATGGAGTTTCTTCACTTGCTTTCTGCTATCTAAATTAAATGTCAACGGTCAGTTACCATTTTGGGAGTAGTTTTCATAATAAAGCACTCTTTTTATGAGGGTAGAGATTAGGGAACATCATGGTTGTCATGGTTACATACGCCTTCTTGATCTCAAGTAGTACCTACTGGTACTGCAAACTTTCCATCAGAGGGAGTGAAGAAGTTTCCCTAACCAATTCTTCACTGTATAGGTCAAAGCATCTCTAACATGGCTCCCACACCTTCTTTTATGTCATCCAGCCCTGCTTGGTTTTGCTTGTCACTGATCATCACTTCATGCTCAGATTTTTTCATGGACACTATTTAATGTGGCAGAAAAAGCAGGCAGGACAATGTGGTCTGAATTCATACCTCAATACTTATTGGGTGAGTGTACCAGCCAATCTTGCGTTACTATGGCAAAATATCCAAGGTCTAGTCATTCGTATAAGAATACAGGATTCACACATGCACACATGTATGTATAGATATGCATACAGATACTCTGGAGGTACATAAGCACATCACCAACATCCGTTTCTTGTAAAGATCCCATGACAGAGAGGGTACATGATGAAAGATGAGGCAGGAGATGGAACCAAGACATACAAGCTGGATTTAGGACCATCTCTTCTGGAAATGAAGAGTGAGAACTCACTCCCAGAAGAAAATAACTAATCCCTTTCAAGGCCGATCTCCCATTACCTTTACACTGGCAACTAAATTTCTTACAGCATGGACCTTAGGGGAGACAAACCACATCATAAAAGACATGGGCAGGATAGTCCCTGGGTTTAGATTTATCATCTCATTTGTGGAAAGGAGACAGACAGTTGTAGCACGGACTTTATTGGAATATTGTGATAATTAAGTCTTAGAATAATGGGTCAGGATATGTTATCAGTTTTGTGATCCCTGCTATTTAAGCATAAATTATCATTGCTACCAAAAGAGAAGATACATGGAGGCTCAACAATAGCAAACTAGAGCTCCCCCTTCACCACCTCAGCTCACCTCATATCAATCTTTAGAAGCTGCAGATAGGGTAGCCATGTTGTTGGAGGCTGGGAGTCCAGTACCCCCACTCTTCCTAGGCACTAGTGGGTTCCTTCACTCTTATCACAGCTAGCAAGTCCAAGCTCTGTGTGGACAATTAGCCGACCAGCAAATGTTACATGCTTCTAGCCAGTGCCCCATTCTTCTGAGACAAGGCGTGAGGCAGGATGGCATACTCAGCCCACAGAGCCTGACTTGTGATCTGACATCTTATTTCAAATGTTCTGGAGTTGCCCCCATGCTCTCACAGGCCGCTGTCTTCAGTACTTTGACATGCACATCTGTCATCATGTACACACCATTTGGGCTTCAGTGACAGGCAGGGCCATGTTAGTCATGAGCCACACAATGACACTGCCTTTAGCAATCATCACATACAGAAATGTGTGTGACAATTCTCCCATTTCTGTGTTGTGTCCAGCAGCTTCCCTCACATTTAACACATGACCTTGGGTTTGGAAGAGACATACCTACTTTACCACTCTGCTCCCAATTGCAATGTCTTTTTTTATTTAAATTAGAAACAAGCTTGCTTGACGTGTCAATCCCAGGTCCCTCTCCACCCCCTCCTCCCACACCCTCCCACCAGTCCTCCAAAGCCCCCCACCCAATACCCACTCCATTCCGTTCCCTCCATGGGGAATATCCAGAGTCTATCATTTTGTTCAGGGCAGGGCCTAGGCCCTCCTCCAAGAGTCCAGGCTGAGAGAGCATCCCTCAATTGTGGGATGGGCACCCAAAGTCCATTTGTATGTCAGGGACAAATACTAATATACTACCCAAGGCTCCATAGATTGCCTAGGCCTCCTCACTGGCACCCACATTCAGGGGGTCTGGATCACTCTGGAGTCCAAGAGCTCCCCCTTGTTCAGGTCAGCTGTTTCTGTGGGTTAAACAAGCCAAGTCTTGACCCCTTTGCTCATCAGTTCTCCCTCTCTATCACTAGATTCCAGGAAATCAGTTCAGTGTTTAGCTGTGGGTGTCTGCCTCTGCTTCCATCAGTCATTGGTTAAAGGAAGTAGTCGAACTCATTATCAGGGAGGGGCATTTAAGGTAGTCTCTCCACTATTGCTTAGATTGCCAGTTGGTACCATCCTTACAGATCTCTGGAAATCTCACTAGTGCCAGATCTCCTCTCAAACCTATAATGATTCCTTCTATTATGGTATCTCTCATCCTGCTCTCCTCTATTCTTCCCCAACTCAACCTTCCTGCTACCCCATGTCCTCCTCTCCCCTCCTCTTCTCCCCCTCTCTTTTTCCCAGCTCCCTCTCCCCTCCCTCCATGCTCCCAATCTGCTCAGGAGATCTTGCCTCATTCCCCTTCTCTGGGGTACCATGCATATCTCTCTTAGGGTTCTACCTGTTTCCAGACTCTCTGGCAGTGGGATTGTAGGCTGGCACTCCCCTGATGCAGCTGACTCTCTGATCTAGCCTCCAGAAAAAGGCACTGATAGACTCATGAGAATGGAGTCTTCCTGACCAAATGGTCTCTTAAAGGCTTCACCACCCGTCAACATTTCAAGACTGAGAATTAAACCACAGTGGATGTTTTGGTGGGAGCAAGACATATCGCAGCCAGAGCACACATACCCTTGATGATGTTCTGGAAAGCAAGAGGTTGGAAGGGAAGGTTCACTGTAAGTTTAGAGATGGGCATTCCTGAAGGTCCTCTGGGTTTGGGACACCTGCTAGGCAACTTCATTAGGATGCACAGGGTTGAAGCTACACAGCTTTGCCTCACTTCTACGGCATCAACTCTACTCTCTACTGCAACATGCAAGCTTACTCATTTTGGCCATGGACTCTGAGGACCCTCATGGACTAAGATACTGGCTTATTTGCCTATTTAGATAAAATGTATATTTTTCATTTCTTTCCCGTTGTGTCAATGACAGTTGTCATTTGCTCATGCATCAAGTGTCTTGGGACATAGTTTGTGCTTAATAATACCTATCTCGTCATTATTTAGTGGCCAGCAATTATGAAAATTCAAATTGGGAAGGGTACTAACTTTACAGAATTTCACTAGGAAGCACTCTGTGCTTTGTTGATTATGAGGCAGTCGGTGGAGGGAGGTGAGAAGGATGCCTTCCACCATGCAGATGTCCTCAAGGTCCCCAGTCCAGTCATGTTCCTGTATCTTTTGGGAGGACCTGGCTCTGCATGTGTCTGCTTCTCAGAAAAGTAAAATCCCCCAAAAAATCCTATAGAAATTTTATCACAATTGTGGACACTAAAAAATAAAATAAAACAACAAAGTGACTGAGAGCAAAAAAAAATATCTTTTGGAAATAACTGGGCTTGTGTCATGTGATTTTAGCTACAATCTTAAAAGGATTGCCTTTCCCATTTAATAATTAACCTGTGCTTCCTTCTTTAAATAAATTGCATAATTCTTGGTTAACAAACTACAAAGTAGTCTGCCTGCTGTGTGGTTTTAGATGGATTGTGTAATCATAGACATTTGGGATTTAACTACTCATTATGGTACTTAAGTAGGTAAAACGGTGTTATTTATATGATTTTGTTGTTTTGTTTCCAAATGGCCAGGAAAGAGACAGGGCTATAGATCATCATAAATAATGCACTGTGAGGTAGACTGAAGACATGGAAACAAAAATGGTGTTTACAGATTTGTCTGCCAGTCTGTCACATAAAAATAGTCATCTGGATTGTCACCAAGAACACTGGGTATTCTTGGGACAACATGACAAAATAGTGGCTGCATGGCATGGACTAAATTCCATTTGGACATTTAGGAGCACTGATGGAGACAAGCAGGCATTTTAACCAGCCGAAACAGGTCAAATTAGAGGAACCTGTGACCAGCCATAAGAAGTAACATATTATATGTTATTAGGATGGACTGAACTGGAAAAATTGAAATGAAGTGATTTTACAGATAAATCTCAAATCAAAAATCAATGGGACAGATGCACCCTGATGCTGAAGCTAATTTGCAGTGGGGACTGTTTCTCACCTCAGGATGCAGTGCTGTACTGGATGACCAGCAGAGTGATTTATTGATTTCATGATTAATCAGGTTCTGCTGATAGCATGAAGAAGCCCAGCCAGACCCAATAAGTAAAAGGCAGACTGGTGAGGAACATCGCTATATAGCTCCTGTCTAATTTATGTATTTTCACATGCTGTAAAGAATTTGGACCAGGAGGATACGACGTTGGATCTCATGGAACATCTCTTGAGGCGCATATGCAGAACAAGTGTAATGTTTAGTTCCTCATTAGCATGTTCTCCATTATTTCTTATGCTTCTGACTCACTGGTGCCTGTTGTGTGAGTAACTGCACAATATCTGACTCAGACTGATAAACCAGTGAAACCCCACAGCAATCACATATCTCTAGGTATTTCAGCCCAGCAGCAATCAGGGAGGGGTCACAAGAAAGTTACTTGAGCAAGCACAGTGTTCCCATGAGATATGTTCTTTTTCTTCTATGGTCATAAAGACTTGGTTTTTTTTTTAATCGTGTTGTTGTTTTAGTTTATAGGCATGTACGTGTGGCTGTGTTGAGTTTATATGCTATGTGAAGCATGTACATGTAAATGCCGGTGAAGGCCAAAGAGGGCAATGGATCCCCTGGAACTGGAGTTATAGGAAATCATGAGCTGCCTGATGTGGGTGCTGGGAACAAACCCAGGGTCCTCTTCAAAAGCAGTAAGAGCACTTAAACACTGATTCATCTCTCCAGCTTCTCTTCTATGGTCTTAATAACTTGTTCGTATTTCACATATCCAAACACTGAAAAGCAAAGCCACATTGTAAAAATTCTGCTTCTCACCCTGTCACTTAGTGCCCCTCCCACCACCAGCTGTGACAATCATGTGGTCTCCAGAAAGAGATTTATTACATACATTTAAACAAAAATATACTTATGATTCCTTTGTTTATTGCATTTAACACATTGTGAAGATCAATATACATCAGTACACAAAGAGATGATTCAGTCTTCTTAATGTCTGCCATTCAATTTGTTTGGAATACCATGCATAGAGAGGTATCTCAGGCATCTTACTGGACTATAACGGCCTACCATTTCTAAAAGCAGGCATTCTTGTAGGGCATTATCCAAGTAGTGTAATTTTGTTTAAATTCCACTTTTTCTTTTTTGTTAGTAAGCTTACCCATCATCAAGTTTCTTTCTGACTTTTTCATATATTTTTAGTTTTTGTTCATCTCCTTCATCATCTTCTGCTCTCGATCATTTTTCTGCCCACTCTCCCCATTTAACATTCTCCTGCCCCTGCAAGATCCAAGAGAACACAAGGTGATCAAGTCCAAGGATACCTGGAATAATAACCACAGCTAACATGGGATGAATTCTTTGAGCCAGGGTTTGCTCAAGCATCTTTATTGTATTGATCATTTAATCCTTAGCACCATGCAAAGATCTAAAACCTACTTTTTTCCTGCTTTTATAGGTGGGGAAACTGAAACTCAATAAGAATGCTCAAATGTTGAGTAGAGAATTGAGATTTAACTCCAAAATTTGCCATTCAGAAAGAACTAAGGTAGCCATAGAATTGAGACAAAATGTTCCATGTCTGTGAAGCCTTCCAAGTGTTTCCTGCTTGGGTAGGGACTTACACAAGCTTCTAGGCAGTAGGTGGTCATGACTTGATAAAGGGAAGAGTGAATCAGTCAACAACTAGACTTGGGTACAATATGTCCTTGGTTTACATGAGACTCATCCCCAAACTTTAGGTGAGACACCTGGTCTTGTGCTCTGATAATTTTATATTGATGTAATTCCAAATATGCATGGTAAGAGTCTTGTTATTTTTTTGTCTGTGCTACTTGACAGGGAAGAAGCTGGACATCATTCTCCCAGTCAGACACTCTATTACCTGTGGCCACTCACTGTAAGGGCTGCTGAAGCAACCTGTGTCCTTGCCACAGAACCTTGGATACTGAAGAAACCTACATGCTCATGCACTACTACCACCCTTTTTTAACAATACAACTATGCCTAATCCAGGTTTGCCTTAAGCCTGATATGTAGTCAAGGATGACCTTGAAGTTCTGATTCCCCTTTTGTTTACATCACAAAGGTGGGGATTTCAGGTACTACACCACCATATCCAGTTTATATGGTACTGGAGAATGAACCAGGGCCCTATGCATGTTAGGCAAGCATTCCACCACCTGAAGTACTTTCCCAGGACTTAGACTGTAAAAAGTGTTTGTCTACAGTGCAAACAACCTCAAAATCGTATCTTCTTTCCTATAACAACCCCCAATCTTTAAGACACAGATAGAAAGGAAATGAGTAACCAAAGTATTATAGAATTCTTTGCCACAATCACAACTGCCTTACTAATGACTAGATAATTCTCATAATAGTCCAATTAAGACAGGAAATAAATTCTTTCTGACTTTTAAAACAGAATTTGCTCCTTCTCAGTTTTTTCATTAGTTTATTTTTCAACAATCTCATACATGCATGTAATACATTCTGGTCACACACATTTCTCTACCATCTCTTATTCCCCTCCAAAACACACTGCCTCTCATCCTTTCTCCCAAGGCTTTATCCAACCACCCTGTCTTTTTTGTTTTTTTTTCCTTTGCCTTGTAACCCACTTATTTTAACGACTTCTGAGGGCACAGGTATGGGGTTACCCACTGAAGCATGAGAAGGTCACCAGAAACTATATCATCACTGAAGACCATGACTTCTTCTCCAGCCTCCTCAACTACCAATAAATACCATGAGAGGGCAGGGATCCATTAGTCCCTTCCACATCTTTGAAAGTTTATTAGCTCAGTCTTGTGGATGTCTTATAGAGAAAACTTCAGCTGTTTTGAGTTTGTAGCTATTTTAGCTGTGTCATGACCATATAAGACAGTATTTCACAACCCTTTCCCCCCATTGTCTAGCCCTTACATTCTTTTTATCCCTCTTTCACAATGTTTCCTGACATTTGGAGAGGGAAATATGGGTGTTCTATTTAATGCAGAACACATCACTTGTTCTCAGTACCTTACCCAGCCATGAGTCTCTGCATTACCTGCTGCTCACTGCAAACAGGCACCACTGTGATTAAAGCTGAGGTCAGGACTAGCTAATGGGTATAAATATTTAAGAGACAATTTGATAAGTGTTCACTTAGCAAAACAACAGTAGCAGGTTCACCCCCTAGGGCCCATATATCCTCAACTTATGGGCCTCTGACCAGGTCTACAGTGCCAAACATAGACCCCTCTTGGGGAGCAGGTCTCTGATCCAATATAAAATCAGTTAATTACCCACATATCAGCCATGCCACTACTGGACCAGTAAGCACCTCTTTTTTAGCAAGTTGGTATTTATAACCCGCAAGATATAAAGCCAGGGGAGACTACGCCTGACTTTGCTCCCTTAGCCACATACACAGCAACTTGTAGCACTATGCAAACTAGCCAGCAGGTAGGAAGCTTCCAGCTTAGTTCTAAGCATGGTTGTATTCTACAACAAAGGAAAGTCTGTTTCTCAGTAGTTAGAACTTAACATTTAGTACTTGTAGATGATTGAGGCAATGACTATGATCTCTATAGTTTGGGAGCCTCTGTGTACTTTCCAGCCAACAATTCTAGGAAGGCACCCCACATCTGGCACGGAGATTTTCATGTAATAATCCATGGCTTCTGGGAATGGAAGTCCCCATCCATGATGGCCCCTCTGCTCCAATTCTGTTTTGTCCTACGCTGTGCTTATTACTATAGTTTTGTAGTATAACCAGAAATCAGATACAGTGATGCCTCCTTCATGGTTCTTTTTGTTCAGGATTGCTTTGGCTACCCTGGGGCTTTTGTTTTTTCACATACGTCTTAGAATTGCTTTTTTCTATGTCTAAAAGGAATAACCCTGGGATTATTATTGAAATTGTATTGAATTTGTACAGTACTCTTAGTGGCATGGTTTCTAACCCATAAGCATGGGAGTTGGGTCATTATTATTATTATTACTATCTTCTAGTGTCTTTTAAAATTTATTTCTTCAGTGTTTTATAGTTTCTATTGTAGAGGTCTTTCACTTCTTTGGTTAGGTTTATTCCCAGGTATTTTATTTCTGTGGATATTATAGATTTGATTTTTAATAAGTATGTTTGTTGCATATGTATATAGAAAAGCTAATAATAGTTTTTACTTAATTAAAATATAATTACATGACTCCATCCTCCTACTTCCTACCTCTGCCATCTGCTCCCTCCCAAATTCACAACCTCCTCTTCTTTAACCATTGTTGTTACAGATATATGTGCATATGTCAATAAACATATGAATATAACCTGTTGATTACTATTCAGTGTTTCCTGCACATGTATATTTCTAGGGCTAACCACTTTGTTTCCCTCTGAAATGTCACAAACTGAGGCCCTATTGTCTGCATTTCTCTCAGCATTCTGATCTTGCAGGTTATCACAACAATAGCTTACTACGCTATGAGCATTCAACAGCTTTTCCAGCTCCAAGTTCCAATTGCTTATACAATGTTCCTCCCAAACAACATGCTCCAGCTCATCACAGCAACAGCATCCATCCTCTGTACCAATTTCTGTATCAGTAACTTTTGTAAGTAATAAAATACGCTGTCAGAAGCAACTTCAGGAAGAAAGTTTATTCTGGTTTACACTTCCAGAGGAACAGAGTTCGTCATGGTGGAAAAGACATGGAAACAGTCAGGAAAAGCATGGCGGTAGAAGCAGGAAGATGGCTGGTCATATTTTCATCCACACACAGGAAGCAGAGCAACAGAACAAGAAACAGAGTGAGGCTGCACACCCTTAAACCTGTCCTCAGTGATACACTTCCTCCAGCAAGGCTCCACCTCCTAAAGTGTCCATAAGCTCCTTAAACAGCTCCAGCAACTGAGCCAAGTATTCAAATGCATGATCCTATGGAAGACAGTTACCCTTCACACCACCACAAGCAGCCTGTCTGAACGATGGCTTCAATTGGATAATCTGACTATTGTCTGGTTCTTCCACACTGAAATATTTACCTCTCCACAGTTTTGAGTGGAGTGCTGAAAGCCCAGCTAAGCAAGACACTTGCAGGCTATAATTCCTTACAAGGAGGATTATATCAATAAGATATTGGCACAATAATCCCAGGTTTAAAAAATAAAACCTCTTTTGTGAACATATATAATATATAGTAATTTAGCACACACACTTTTCACTCACATTTGGGGGTCCAAAGCCCAGATCAGGCAGACATTGTGATTTAGACAATGATAGTTGAAGAATAGAATATAATGGAAAATAATTGTAATAACACATATAGGAGCACAATGGTCACAACTTGAACTGAATGAGAAAGGGAGATAGAGACAGAGATACAGAGAGAGGCACACATAGAGAAGAACAGAGGGGGAGGGAAGGAGGGAAGGAGGGTTGGGATGAGAGGGAGACAGAGAGACATAGAGACACACACACAGAGAAACCAGGGTCTTGCAATTCCTTTCCAGGGCATGCTCCCAATGACCCACAGACCTCCCACTAAGCCCAACTTCTTAAAGGTTCATGGCATCTCCCAACCCTTTATACCTGAGTGTTTGGGATCACCAACTCAGACTATAGCACCCAGAATGCAGTTTCTTGAAAGTACATTTATTCTCCTGCAACTTAATTGGGCAGAATGTCTACACTAGGATTCAACTGTGGGTATAGCTCAATTTAACTGAGTAGCTCTGGTCCAAGTGTGTCCAATCAGAACCAAAGAAGTAGGTGTCACTTAGAAAAAGGTCATCACATGGAAATGGCAGAACCAGAACAATCTCGACCATGATTCTCAGATAGGACAACTTCTCATCAGCGTCATTATATTGCCTAAAGCAAACCATATGGTCAAGCCCAAAACCAAGAACTGGGAAGTATGTTTTTCCCATTATGGAAAAGACCAAATGGAAAATAATATTTGTGGATACTTTTCTTTCCCCTATGTTTTCCTATAGGACACATTATTATGTGCTGTGAAGTCAGTGAGGGAAACCAAATATTGCCTAAATCACAATTGTTCTGAGATCAAGCACTACATTAACTCAATATAATATGAAATAAAATTAATCCCACTGAAAGCCCTCATCAATAAGTTAGAGGTTGCAAAAAAATTCCCTGAGGGCTTATTATATCTTTCTATCTGCTATATCCTATTCTCCATAGCTGCTACCAGGTAAGCAGTGTAGACCCAATGGTTAATTGTGCAAATTATAGAAAGATGTATAATTGTGCAAATTATAGAAAGGTCAACCATAAAACACATAATTCAGTCATTTATGAATTTTCTACCAAAGTATAACTGATTCAGTTAGCAATATAAATATTTAACTTCTTGCTATGCAGAAGTATTTCTGTATTTGGTTTCATCTGCTATTAATAACTATTTAATATAACTTCCAGATTGGAGAGTAAAACCTTTTGAGATATATTTCTGACTCTTAGAGTTGGTGTTAGCATTAGGGCTATGGTAGTTTGAATGAGAATGGCTCCCATATGCTCAGATCTTTAAATACTTGGTCCCCAGTTGGTGGAACTTTTCGGGAAGGATTAGGAGGTGTGGCTTTATTGGAGAAGGTGTGTCAATGGGGAATGTGCTTTGAGGTTTTCTTGTGTCATTCCCATTCTCTGTCTACTAACATGTGGATCAGGACTCGAGTTCTTAACTGTCCCTTCCATTGCACCTTTACTTCACCATTGTGACCTCTGATCCTGTGAAACCATAAGCCCAATTAAATGATTTCTTTTGTAAGTCACCTTGGCCATGATGCTTTGTCACAGCTATAGAAAAGTGACTAAGACCCTTAAAAGCATTAGGAAAGTTGTTCCCCCACAGGCCTTGCCAGTTCTTTGCATTTACAATTTCTTCCTTCTCTCTGTGATAATGACACCATTCCCAGCTGTCCATGGCAATTCACACCCTGCAATCCTAGCACTCAGGAGGCTAAGGCAGAAGGTTTGCCATGTGTTTGGGCCACACTTACTGAGGATACATGCAGAGTTCATGCTAGCCTGAGCTACAGTATGAGATTGAAAACAAGCCAGCACCAACTTCCCCTGTTCTCTCATGAAAGCTTCCACGCAGTTACAATCTGCCAGACTCGGAGATGGTCTGGTTCATTTTACCATCACTGTGAGCAAACTACCCAGAGAATTTAAGGAGGAGAGAATCACTTTGGCTCCCAATTTCAAAAGACTCGGGCCATGGTCGTTTGGTCCCATACACTTGGACAGAGCATCATGTCAGATGGCAATGAAGGGTCATTAAGTCACAGGGGACAGGAGACAGAGGGAGAGAGATACAGGACCAGCAACAAAGGACAGACTTCATAAGCCACACTTCTAAAGTTTCCAGACCCTCACAAAACAGTGTTACCATCTGGAGACTAAATATTCATCACACAAGAGGACATTTCATATAGAACAAACTTTCTAATGAGACCATTTAATCCATTTCCTCATACTATAGTGACCCCTCAACCTTAAAATTACTTTCATTACTACTTCATAATTGTAATTTTGCTACTATTTGCAGACAAAGGTTTTTTGTCCCTCCCGGTCCCATAGCCACTTTTAAAATAATCACTCAGAAGCTTAAGATTGATTATAAACCATTTGGTCTACAACTGAAGCTTATTACTAACTGGCTCTTATATTTAAATGAACCCATTTATATTAATCTATGTATTGCCACATGGCCATGGCATTACTGGTCTGCTGGCATCTTGCTGCTCCAGAAGCTTGTTCGTATCTTCCTGACTCTGCCCTCTTTTTCCTGTATCTCTGCTTGAATATCATGCCTGGATCTATCCTGCCTTGCTATAGGCCAAAACAGCTTCTTTATTAACCAATGGTAATAAAACATTCACAGCATTCAAAAGGGTAACTCCACAGCAACTGTTATGAATAGTAGTGTAAATATATGTTATGCAGGATATCAGGTTGAGAATCAATGCTATAGAAACTATACCCTCAATACATTTATGAGACCTTAGGTGTGTTGTCAATATTTTAAATGAGATTTCAAATCAAATTTCAGTTTTCTGGCTAACCCTGATGTACATTTATAGGTTTGTGATGTCTAGTTGGGACCTAGCTGTGCCTTGGGGAAATCTGGGCACACTCCAGAGTTCAGCCCCTGGGTCTCTACCTCCATAGCTGGCCTGACCCTGGGGAGCACTTTGGCTTCTTCTTCATCTTTGACCATATTTGTGTGACTAATGGCCTCTCCCTGGGACCTATGATTCGTCTTTGTGCACAGTTTCCTCTCTGCCAAGAGAAGTGAAATTGAACTACCTCACCCCTCCATCTCCTCCAGGACTGGCCACATCTATTCTCATAGATGAGAATGCTGCTCTCTGTGTCAGCTACTTTGTAAACTAAAAAGCATTTCCTGGCCTCTGCCCACCCATCTCACCACCCAACACTTTCTGTGGCCTCTGAAACACAAGTGCATATCAGATAAGATATCCACGTATGTGAAGACAGCCATCTACCCATCTCCAGTTTATATTACATTAAATAGTTACATAGTTAATATATTAAACATCATTATTATATATTAAATAATTCCTAAATGAAATTTGTTTCTTCAAAGCAAAATTATGCAGTCATTTTCTTCCTCTCTATGTCGTAAGTTGTTTTCTGCCTTCTGAAGTTATCCACAGATGACCCTACTGAGCATGTGGGAGGGGGGGAGTGGCTATGATCCCTCTCTGGTAACCCTTTGTGGTTTCTTCAAGTTGCAGAAAAACTTAAACCTTCTTTTGATTAGTTTTCTAAAATGTTCCAACTCAGTACCTATAGATATCAAGGTAGATTCAAGAACAATGACAAATACAGGACCATGTACCTTGGCTGCTAGCTGAATCGCTCTTTATCACAAAGTGAAAGACCAGGTCAATATAATTTTAATGGAGAATAAAAGAAAACAGGTAAAAGTTAGCATTCTGCTTTACTGGAAACGGAGGCAATTATTTTTATTCTATGAAAGAATTATATGTGTGTCTTGGGTTTTCACATGTGAAGAATCCATGAGCAACTCCAGCAACCATTGGACTACATTGATATGGAAAGGCCAGACTCCTCCCAGATAAGACACACTTCTAGTAGAATAGGGTGGTTTTTTTTTTTTAGGATAGTCTTAATCTAGTTGTTTAGACATATCTCCTGCTCCTGAGGAATCTACGGCTGGCCCTCAGTTTCATTATAAATGTCAGGACATGATATAGCTGTGATTGTCAAAGCACTTTTATAGTAAGTCCTTCTTTTTAGACACTTGGAGTTTTTTTTATTCTGTTTGTTTTAATAAATTGCCCTTTGGGAATGAGATTTCTCCTCAGCCTGTACGTGTACTGGTATGGAAAGCTTGTCAAAACTCAGGTTGCCTTATTTTAAAACTTAACAGGTTTCCATTGCCAAAGTCAGGGTGGGACCTAGCTTGTGGTCTCATCTCTGGGCTTCTTGTTCATCTAATTAAAAGAAAGTATGTGAATCTAAAAAAGAGGGAGAAGGAGAGAATCCTCCCTTTGTTATTCTGGTATGCAAGGAGCCCCTGCTTGCTGTCTATTCCTCTGCCCACTGCCCATCCCCCACCCCACCCCACACACTGACACATTTATAACCTAAATGGACACTCCAGCTAGAAAGTAGGACAGTGAAGGTAGAAGGTTGTGTTCTACATGATCAAAACCAAAGGAGAGAATCATCTACATTTACAGGTAGCAGGGGATGTCCATGGATGAAGCATTAGCAAGAGAGAAAGGGAGAAAAGAGGAAGGCAAAGAGAGAGAGGAGATGGGTGAGAGAGGAAGGGAAGGGGAGAGAGACAGAGAGACAGAGAGAGAGAGAGAGAGAGAGAGAGAGAGAGAGAGAGAGAGAGAGAGAGAGAGAGAGAGAGAGAGAGAGAGAGAGAGAGAGAGAGAGAGAGAGAGGACATTTAGGAAGCAAAACTGAATTTAAAAAAATAACACCAATCCAGGGAGATGGAGACACTGCCAATGTCAGGAGTCTGGAGTCAGGAGTGGAATTTGGGGAAATGAAACCAGAACAGAATTCAAACTTGTGAAGTGCTGATTGTGGGAAGGGCTGCCATCAACCACCACCTGAACTTGCCATTATATATGTAAAATTTGAGAACATTTTTCAAAGAGTCACCAGCAACGAGAAGAATTTAAGACCCTAAAGAGCTGATTCCAGACATCAGTGTCCATGATCCTGGCATGTCAGCTGAAATGCATGGGCTGCCATGTCATTGTCATTAGCAGAACCTAGGTATCTCACCTGTCCTGAGTTCAAGCTTCCGGTGAGTGTTTGGAGACAAGTGACCTCCACTGCCATTGCCTAATCAACCATCTTTTTGCTTTGGAACAGAAACTTTGAAATCCTCTACAAGGCAAGACTTAGACAATTAGTGGCTGATTGCCCCCTATAAAGTGTGTGGGGCTGCTGAGTGCTTTGAATTGGGATGATTTTTGGTTAAAAACAGGGATGTCAGCCGGGCGTTGGTGGCCCACGCCTTTAATCCCAGCACTCGGGAGGCAGAGGCAGGCGGATCTCTGTGAGTTCGAGGCCAGGCTGGACCAACAGCCTCCAAAACAGAGAAACCCTGTCTCGTAAAACCAAAAAACAAAAACAAAACAAAACAAAACAAAAAACAGGGATGTCTGAGCATCTGGGATGCTCCTTATTCCCCTCAATGAGTGGGTGTAGCAAGTGAGGCTGCAGTGGTTCTTGCCTGGCATCACCCCAGTTGCTGTGTGCAGACCTCCTTACTGCCAGGAGAGAAAACAAATCTTCCTTTCACCCTGGAGGCTCTAGTTTCTTCTATATTCTGTCCCCTGCCTTCCCTGCATGTGTGGGTGAATGGTAAATGCCTTTGACATGTTCAGAAAGCCCTGTGTTAGAAACCAGACTCCAAGGCTTTTCCAAACCACTCACGAAACAAGTAAAGCTGTCTTTCTCACCCCAATAGAAAACCTCAACTTTTTAATAATCAAGAAAAATGGAGGCTATTTTGGGTTTCACTAGCAATGAATACCCAAGGACTTGTTTCCTGACACATTTATAGCAGTAATAGACCTTCAGGGTCCCTAAACATTCTGTACAAGATGACTTACTAGATCTTTGGAGTTCTCGTAGGACAGGAAGGATCTCAGTTAGAAGGTTCCATAGCCAAACTAATTTCAACAAAGAGTCAAACTAATTTCAACAGAGTCCTAAGGGGAAAAATATAAGGAAAAGGTTATCGGGCCAAATACCCCCATAATCATACCAGCAGTCCTTTGTTAAAACAAGGACTACTTAGAAGGTGTTTGCCTTAGTTAAGATTTCTGTAGCTGTGACAAAACACCATGAATAAAAGCAAGTTGGGGAGGAAAGGGTCTATTTGGCTTACACTTCAGCATTGCTGTTCATCACTGAAGGAAGTCAGGACAGGAACTCAAACAGCAGGATCCCAGAAGCAGAAGCTGATGCAGAGGCCATTGAAGAGAGCTGCTTACTGACTTGTTTCCCATGGCTTGTTCAGCCCACCTTCTTATAGAACCCAGGCCCAGCAGCCCAGGGATGACATCACCCACCTCGGGCTAGGCCCTCCCCCACTGATCACTAATTGGGAAAATGCCTTACAGCTGGATCTCATGAAGGCATTTCCTCAGCTGAGGCTCCTCCCTCTGATGACTCCAGCTTGTGTCAACTTGACACACAAAACCAGCCAGTGCAGTGTTCTTGTGAGAAAAGGCAAGCGAGATTGATGGAAAATTTTGATTTTGTTTATATTAAAGTTCCTTCTAGAGCAATATAAGGAAGAAAATTATTTTTCCTTATGGTTGCAAGTTTTTTTTCTAAGATGGCAGGCATAAGCATGACTCCAGCTGCCAGCTTGGAGATGTGGTCACTGCCACTTCCAGCTGTAAGTACAACTTTTAAATCGTTAGTAAAGCCTCTTAAAAGAACCTTGCTGTTTTTTTTTTAATGCTGAGTCAGGATGACTGCCTTAAGTAAGCTGCGAGTTTCTGCTTGCTGCTAGCAAAACAGAGCCCACCTGAGAAAATGCTGCTACCAAAAATCTGTGCTTCGATCCGTTCTTCTGTTTCTAAAATTCCTTTAAAGCTTTTGTCATTCTACGTGGAAATTTATTACCCCACTCCTGGTACCATTTTGTAAAGAGAAGCCTTTTCCTTGCTAGCCGCTTTGGTTTATCACCCGCCAGTCGCCTGGGCTCTGCCGCGTTATAGTCTCCAAATAACACACAAGATGCTGTATTAATTATGAAGCTGTTGGCCTTGCTTGTTTCTTACTGGCTAGCTCTGACTTAAGTAATTACCCCATAATTGTTAATCTAAGTATTTCTCTTACCAGAGAATAGTTTTGGGCTTCCTACCCCATGGCATTTCATCTTGACTCTGTGTTTCTCCTTCCCAGAGTTCTCCTGGACTCCTAGTCCCACCTATCATGGTTCCCTATTGGCCCAACAGTGATTTATTGACATATACATAGGACTTCCCCCATCAACTCCCTAGAAGAACAGCTTCTCTTGCCATTCTGGTATCACGGAGGTCCATATATCAGGCTCTTTGACCAAACATGACTCACTTTAAGAAGCATCTGTGTTTCTGCTAATGGCCCAGTTCATCTTAGAGCAATGGATTCAGTTCTGTGTCCCCACATCTCCATTGTCCCCACTCTTGTCATTTCTGACATTCTCTACTTGTCATTGTTTACCTACAATTTGCTTCTCTAAAGTTTGTTTGATGTAAGCTTGATCCCTGGAATGGCTAATCTTGGTTGTCAACTTGACACACCTGTCAAAAATGTGCTTCCACTAAGGAACTGCCTCAATTAAATTGGTCTGTGGGCATGGTCTGTGTGGCATTTTATTGATTGTTAATTGAACTAAGAAGATACAGCCCACTGGGGGGGTGGCATTTTCCCTAGGTATGTGGGTCTGGTTTGTATAAGACATTTGAGCAGGCTAAAGGAAGAAAGCTAGTAAGCAGTTTTCCTCCATTTTCTCTGCTTCAACTCCTGCTTCCAGGTTTCTGTGTCAAGTGCCTGCCTTGGCTTCCCTCAATGATGAACTGTGGTGTTTAAAATGAAATAAACCCTTTTCAGCCCATGCTTGTGGCCAATGTTTTATCACAGTAAAAGAAAGCACACTAGAACTTCACCCCAGAGTAACCTGGAAGATAACCCGAAAGTCCAAATTCAGGAATGCCAGTGTGGAACAGTGAATGCTGGGCATAACACACAGCCATTACTGTTGAAATAACGCAGATTTTGCTTCAAAACAAGTGAAGTTCCTTGTCTTACTGCTGTAGACTTGTCTTCTCCAATTTGGTTGCCTAGTCAAGGATCAGCCTTGTGTTCATGTGACTGATAGTAGAAATAGCCACCAACCTCTCTCAAGAGTTGTTCTTTGTGACCTTTAGTAAGGCAAGGGTGTCAAGATACAAATCACCACAGATATCAAAAACTACAAAACACAAACACCTCAAACTTTATTGGTCATATACAATGTCTCTGAAAGGACAGGGCAATTCTACTACACAGCACAACAAACTACTACAGGGGGTAGGATTCAAACTTGACGAGAAAATTGAGGATGATTCAGACAGAAATGGAGGGAGGGAGAGGGTGTGAGTGCTATAGGCATTCTCCAGTAAATTTGGTACCAACAATGATGGGGACACTAGACTGGCCAATTTCCTTCTTCATGAGCATGTCTTGTTAACTGTGGCACACATCATGAACAGATGAAGGTGGTAAGTGGCATCCTCATTTAGAATGAAGATCGAGAGAGCGACGCTAAAATAGTGGATCTCGTCTGTGATGCCAGAGAGCCAGATGAGTGGATCCTTGAATGCCATTAGAAGCATCATTCCAAATTACCTAGGCTTCTGCGGATTCTTGGCCCCATTCTTCAATTTAGAGGTAATTTTCTGGCTGTCTATGGCTAATTCATGTCCTCAGGAGCTAAGCTTTTCTGAATTAAAAAAAGGGAGAAATGGATTTGCAGAGCTGGTGAGGATTTCAACAGAATCTCAGATGTAGTTTGTAGTGGTTTGAAAGAAAATGGCCCCATAGGCTCACAGGGAGTGGCATTATTAGGAGGTGTGACCTTGTTGGAGTGGGGATGGCCTTGTTAGAGGAAGTGTGGCCCTGGAAGCAGGCTTTGAGGTTTCAGATGCTCAAGCTTGTTTGTATTTTGGGTATGGACTTGACATCTTATCATAAATGAGATTAATGTGGGTAAGTGCTTTGTAGGCAAACCAAGACATGACTTGAGATCCTTTGGATATTTGGATCCCCATGCTGTCACCTTCTGTATTCAGGGGTATTGCATCTGTTGGTCACAAGACACTCCCCCAACATTCCGAAACCTGAGGATATCCACATCTCAAATCCAAACAAGTATCTCTTGAACAATACCTGCATTCTAACTCTGTGGGGGAAGCAACAAATAGGATATAATCTGTGTTACATTGAACTTACTGTCTTCCACTTAGTAACTAGCCAATTGGACAATTAGGATTTCTTACAGCTATTTGTGATGGAAGGAGCTACTGGATTATGAGAAAGTCTATCAAGTAATGGCCAGGCTTGATTTGGGGCACCAGCAGTCGTTCTTGAGAGCTGTGTCACCTAGTCTATGAGAAACACACACCATCTTTGTATGTACCACTAAGAAGGAAAAATGCCCTCCAGTTAAATACTATGCATGGCCTTCTTAGGACTCAGAATATTCCATTTGCTTTATTTGACTTGGGTTTTATTAAATATCATTGTATGCACAACCAGGAGAAATTATAGGATGGAAGATCATTTCTCTTTTTTCTTTTATTGAAAATAGTTTTTATCATGCATTGTATTCTGATTATGGTTTCCTCTTCCCCAACTCCTATCCTGCCATTCTCATCTACCCTTTCTGTCTCTCCTTAGAAAATGAACTGGCATCTATCGAAAAAACAATAAAGTAAAATCAGATAAAACAAAAGAGCAGAGTAGGATAAAATAAACATAAGAAAAAGAGTAAAGAAGAAGCACAATAAACACAATAAGTACAATCACACACACAATGTAACCCCTACAAATAAAACAACAAATCAGAAGCCAAGCAATATTATAAAATGCCTGCCATTGAATTCATTTTGTGTTGGTCATCTACTGCTGGGAATGAGGCCTGCTTTTTTTTTTAAGTGTGCTTTGTATACCGAGTGAGACTCTACTATTGAAAACTAAATTATCCCTTTGGAAGCAGTTGGAGACAGCTTTTGGATTAGGGATTGGGGTGTGTGTTCACTTCTCTCAGCTCTAGAGCCTCTTCTAGTGCAGACCCATGCAATCTCTAAGTCTCTGTGAGTTAATTATGTGCATCAGTCCTGTTGTCTTTAGAAGGCCTTGTTTTCTTTTTCTTGCTGTCCTCCATCCCCTCTGACTCCTACACTCTTTCTGCTTCCTCTTCCACAGAGTTCCTTAAGCCCTTGGGGAGAAATTTGATACAGACATTCCTTTTAGGACTGAGCGTTCCAAGGTCGCCTGCACTCTGCATATGTTCTGGCTGTGGGTCTCTGTATTTGTCTCCATCTGCTGCAGGAGGAAGCTTCTATGATGGTAGATGAGCAAGGCACTGATCTAGAAATATAGCAGAATGTTGTTAGGAGTCATTTTATTGTTACATTCCTTTATTAGACCAGCAGCATTTGGTTTTCCCCTAGGTCCAGGGCTTATCTAGTCTCGGGTTCTTGGCCACCCAAGCAGTGTCAAGTATGGATTCCGTCTCTTGGACTGTGCCTTAAGTCAAATCAGATGTTTGTTGGTTACTCCCACAAAGTTTGTGCCACGATTACACCAGTGTATCTTGTAGGCAGGTGGTCATTGTAAAGGCTTTGTACCTGGGTTGGTGTTTACCTTTCTCCTTCGTAGCATGAAGAGTGCTTCAGAGTACCATGAACACCAGACTTTATGTTCAATGAGTTGTGCATGTCTTCAGTAATAGGGCCTTGCCATAAGTTTGTAGTGAGCAACAATAGCATTGACCATAGCCTGTGTTGTTTGGAGATTCCCATTGGACCCCTTTGGCCAACAACTTGATTAGATGTAACCTGTTCCCAGTACTGAAGATTCATTTGGTAACAAGAGATGTCCAGTTGAGGATCTATGTCCCCAATTATTTAGCGATTTCATTAGTCACCTTCATATATGTATATATTTTTTAAAGCTTCTACTGTATTAAGATTCCATACAACCCCTAAAATGGCCCTTAGTTTTAGCTTTTACCCTGTATCTCACCCCCTTATCAATGCTCTTCCTCCCCCTCCCACGTTTAATCCACCCATTCCATTCCCACCCCTCCTCATCCATCCGTAACTGTCTATTCTACTTACCCTTCCTAGGGAGATCTATCCCTTTCCCTTAGTCCTCTACTCTATACCTAACCTGTGTGGTTACATGAATTGTAGCTTACTTAACAATGACTTGACAGCTAGCATCCATATATAAGTGAACACCTACCATATTCATCTTTCTGGATCTGGGTTGTCTCATTCAGGATGATATTTTCAAGCACCATCCATTTACCTGTAAATTTCATAACATAATTCATTAAAGACTGAGTAATATTCCATTGTGTAAATGTACCACATTTTCTTTATTCATTTATCTACAGATTTAGGTTGTTTCTAGTTTCTGGCTATTATAAAGCAAAAGGAACATGGTTAAGTAAGTGTCCCAGTAGTATCTCTAGATATATGGCCAAGATGTACTTGGATCTCGAGGTAGATTGATTACCAGTTTCCTGAGGAACTGTCACACTGATTTCCATAGTAGCTATACAAATTTTGTTTTCTTCATTTTATTCAACTTTTTGTTTATGATTTCATAGACTTCATTAATAGATTTAAGATTTATTTATATCAGCCAGGCATTGGTGTGCACGCCTTTAATCCCAGCACTCGGGAGGCAGAGGCAGGCAGATCTCTGTGAGTTCAAGACCAGCCTGGTCTACAAGAACTAGTACCAGGACAGCCTCCAAAACCACAGAGAAACCCTGTCTTGAAAAACCAAAAAAAAGATTTATTCATATCTGTTTTATATTCATAATAACTATTTTGAAGTGCTTGTGCTTCAGCTATATTGCATTTTTCCAGGTCTACTATCTAGTAGGGTTTCTGGTCTCCAGTGGGGGACAGATTGTCATGGCTGTTACTGATAATGATTTTATTTTGACTTCTGGGCATCTGGGTTTGGGATACTTGTATTTCTAGGTGCTGATATCCAGTCTTGTCTTTGATGGGCAGCTGTTCCATCCCTTAGTTTTTGTTGCCCTCTCTGGTTCTTTGGAGAGTGTGGTAGCTGTGGGTTGCCTATAGAGAATGCTTCTGAGATTCTGCCAGGTGTGGTCACTGGGGGTCCCAGGTAGAATATGTTTTTAGCTGGTACTGGGAACTGACACTCAGGAATGGTGACAAACTAGAAGAGATGGATCTGGAGTGGTCCACAGACAAGGAAGAAAGCAGGGTGTGCCATCGAGATCTGGGTAGAACCTTGGGAATTGGAGCAGAGGGAGAGGAGAGGCCACAGCAGGTGGTCTTCTACAGAGCTGAGGCTGAGCCTGGAGAGTTGGGTATGGAGGAAAGGAGAGACAGTGATGATCACCTATCTGTTTCCCTGGCTGACATGGCTAAGAGTTTCCAGGAATTTCTTTGTGAGTTGGCAGCTGAGACAAAGGAATGGGGTGGTGGAAGTCTATAAAAGAAGATCTGGGTGATGTGCTGGGAATGGGGTCAGAGAGCATTGATATGTTCTTAAGGAATTCCTAGAATCTCTTTATACTGAGTGTATCTACTTACTGTTATCACAGAATGGTTAATGTTGATGCTTTTCCACACAGTATCATTTTCTTCACCATTAAGAGCATTGTGATGTGATATTTCTGAAAAGAGTCCATCAAAGAACGGAAAACTATTGGTACTGTGCTGTAAGCCAAATGTGCAATTATGCCCTGATAACCTCTTTCTGACTTTGGCTTGGAGAATGTTGCTTAATAGATCTGATCCACCACCCCTTACTCCCCCATCACAGACAATTACTTCTCAGGAGTTAGTTACAAGTGAGCCTTGTTGTCTTTAGAATTCACAGCCAAACCACCAGACCCATTCTGCATGTTTAGATGAATGCTTCCACAGTTAATGTGGACACAGACACAAATAAACATGAACAATAGCATCCCAACAACTGCCAGCCAACAGCCCACACCAATGGATGCACCCAGACTTAGATATCCCAATTCAACGTTGTTACCATGTGGATAGCATGTCCGAAAACAGTTAAACATGATAGTTTCTAAGATGATATCATATAGATGAGTGAAAACCAGACAAATGAGGAAAGGAGTGAGAAGGAGTGTTTGGAAGAGAGGGAGAAGTTATTGCACAGGCCTGAGGTGGCAGAGTGTGATGCCCTCCAGAAGACTTCAAATCTTGGCTCTATATTCATGCTTATTGATGCACTATTTACAGTAGCTAAGAAGTGGAACCAAACTAGATATCCATCAATAGATGAGTTAATAAAGAAATCTGGAGGCATAGACACAAAGGAGTTTCATTCAGCCATAAAGAAAAATGAAATTATAACATTTGTTAGAGAATTAACAAAACTAGAAATTATTTTGCAACATGAAATAAGACAGACTACTAATACTGTACGATTTCTCTCAGATGTGGATCCTGACATATACATATACATATGAAACTAGAAAGAGAACTATTAAAGGGAAAAAGATATTAATAGGAGAAGAGTAATAGAATACATATGAAATGGAAGCAGAAGAGAGGTCACTGGGGCCAGGAAATGTATAAGAGGGAGGGGTACAGAGGTAGAAAGAAATAATGGAGGAGTAAGTACAAGAACAAATGCCAATTAAAAACATTGCCAAATATAAAATTAAAATCAGTGCTAGCAGAAAGGATTATATGTGGTCTCCATCATACACAAATGGCAAAGGTTTGAAGTAATGGTAATAAAAAGATTTAGCATAATTGTTATGTGATACACACATGTTGAAATATCACACTGTACCCTATAACATATGCATTGTGTGTCAGCTAAAAGCAACAGCAGGAGTTGGAGGGACAACTCATCAATTAAAATCATGTCCTGATGATTTTAAAGGACCTGAGTTTGATTCCTAGCACCCAATCAGTGACTTACAACCTCCTGTAACTCAAGATCCAAGGTATCTGCTGCCCTCTTCTGGCCTCAGTGAGCACCTGCACTTACAATCACATACCTACACATATGACATCTACATACATATGTAATTAAAAATAAAATCGAACAACAATAGGCATTGTATCTGTCAACCAAGAACAGAGGTAAGGCAGCCAGGGTAAGGGTAAGAACACCTTAAGTCTTGTGATGATTGTGGAATTTTATCCCTAAAGCTTGGAAAGGGCTTCTAGCAAACAGTGACCAAGAGAGAGTGAAGAACAGATGCACTGAATGGTCGAGTCTGGAGAAAGGACTGGGTGGGAGTCAAATGGATGATGGAGGATCAATCAAAGACTATGGTAGCCATACAGGTAGGCTTTGAAATGGTAATTCATGGCTGGACTGGTGACTGAATCATGGAGGAGAGTAAAAGAGAGAGGCACTGAGGACAATTCCCTGGGAGCCTTTTAGATGTAGGCACCATGTCCCGAGTCAGCAAACACTGCAGAAAGACCAGAGTTAGGGATGAGAACAACAGTGTTTCACTTCAGCCTAGTTTCATCAGAGGTTCTGAGACATCTGATGGAGGTGCTTCATGGAAAGAAAGATGGGTAGATATGGAGCTCACAGCAAAGGTGTGGGATGGAGAGCCCATTTAAATGTCACATGGTAAAGGAACTGAGGTGTATACAGTTGTGTCACCAGAGTATATATGGTAAATGAAGCAAGGTGTATGCGGTTGTTCCAACATCTCCCTGGGAGAGAGTCTAGAGGAAGGCATACAGAGGTCCATGCTGCATCTTGAACTACAGCACCAAGTGCTAGATATAGAATGTTAAGCCATCAACAGAGCTAGAAAAAGCAGCCACAGAAAGCAAGCAAGCCAGAAGAGCATGTATGGGAGCATGTATGGGAGCCAAGGGTTGAACATTGACTGTGTCTCTCAGTGGCTCCTCAAAAGTCAGTCCCTGACCCTGCAGGAGCTCCTTGCAAAAATGGCTTTCTTCCCACTTCCATGGCACCCTTTGCCTCCACTCTAAGGTGTTCTGTTTCTAGCATGATTAATTTTACTCTCCTTTACATGGAAGAATATATGCCCACCCATAACCTCTCAGTTTGGACAACTGTAACCATGTTCTTGGCAAGCTCATTAATTAGAGACCTATTTATAATACTACTCACTGTTCCTGAGAGAAGGAGAAAGGCAGAGAGGAATGAGAGGAATAAAGAGGAAAAGGGAGTCTGTGAGGCACCCGTCCATGGCATTTCTTGTGTCTTTCTGTTCCATGCCATTCAGTGTTTGATAGAAAAGTTAGAGGATTAGAGAGGCTAAAGAATTTGGGCAAAGTTACTTAGATAAGGTGTTTTACAAGCAGAGCTTAGGTCTCCAAACTTTGATCTACGTGCTGAACATTATTTTCCTCTGGGTAGTCCCTTGCAAGAAGCTCATAAGTGCCTTCCATACACAAGCAAATTCTCTGTGAGAGAAGATTCCAGAATAAAAACAATAAGCAGCAACGGTTAACAACGGAAGCATAAACATGACTCTGATGGATGACCCCCATGGATAAATTTGTTCTCTTTTCCTCCCTTAATTATATTGGCAGATCAGAGTCTGGTAGAAATAGCTGTGGTGTGATTGATGTATTGGTGGCAGTTACATGTGAGAAGGCTCCTCTGATAGGTCCGTTTTAATGGGAACACCAGGCAGTAGCTTTAACAAGGACAGGCCTATTTGTTTCTCTGCCTCACTTGTTAGCTCCTCTCAGATCAGGAGGAAACTGCTGTCTAGTGTAGCCCAGATTCCCTTCAGAACAAGCTGGGCCTTCATAACTCTCATTACGGTGCCTCAGGGCAGTGTGGGGAAGAAGGGATGACTGAGGTCACAGAATTGCACCACCCATGTCTGCTACCTGGGGAGAGTCCTGCTCTGCCCTGAACATCCTGGAAATGAATGAGCAACACATATTCCTAAAGAAGTCTAAGGGAGCCAATCCCAGGCTGTTTACCCACCAAACTTGGGAGGGTTGTGATCAGAGAAAGTGGAGAAGATAGCTGTGGTCTGTGAAGCTACTTTGGAGGGGGATGGGATGGGTAGCAACTTGCTCAGGGTGACACGTTCATGGCAGAAAGGAACAGCAGGCATGACTGCTAGAGCAGTTGCTTTCACATAAGGTCATCAATTGAGACTTATTTGACATCTCCGAAATGAGGTTTCTGTTTGTTTGGTTTCTTGTGGCACCCTTGGCACCGAATGACAAAGGGGAGTGACATGACAAAGAGTGACATATTTAGAGGTTCTTTTGCCTATGCTCAATATAGAACCCTTTAGATAGAATTTGGGTTGAAGAGCACATATAAAATAAACC